GATAATCGAATGCGACGTCTTTCCCTCTTCCCTTCTCCTCCACTTCCACCTCCTCCTCCTCCTCCTCCTCCTCCTCTTTCTCTTCCTCCTGCTCCTTACCCCCTGTCGTGCGGGTTGGCGCTGCAGCGCACGTGCGCAACTCAGCGTGCACCACAGGATGGTTTATTGAATGGGCCCACTTGGTTCTCGGACGGCCAATTTAGCTGGAGATTCCAAGACGCAGATGGGAGGAGTGACGGTGATGCGGGCGGACTCGGAAGGACTCGTACATTGCCCTGGCGCTCCCTTGTCCATAAGGATTATTTTCTAATGTTTTCGGTGGAATCCACAAGCGTTCAATTTTGCCATACCGAATCTTCTAACATTCTACATACAACAGTGGTGCTGTGTTGCACACGGTTGCTGTGGTGCACAAGCGCCGTGGTGTACACAGGCACTGCAATGCACGCAGGCATTGTGGTGTACACTGCTGTGTTGCACACGGCGGATGTGGTGCACGAAGGTGCTGTGGTGTACACAAGGGCTGTTGTGGTGTACATAGGCGGTGTGGTGTACACAGGCGCTGTGGTGCACGCAGGCACTGAGGTGTACACAGGCGTTGTGGTGCAGATCGCCACCTACATGCTGGTGCCACCCGTCCTCCGTCATTCCTAGGCATTCCCAGGCGCCGCCGGCGCCAAGCGTGACGTCATCGACCCCCTCCACCCCCGCGAGATGATTGCCGTCATCGGCCCGGAAAAATAACAGGCTCCAGCCGCGTCCGCGCGCACGACGACGATGAGCGACGAGCGACGAGCCACGAGCGACGACGACGACGACGACGACGACGACGACGTCGACGACGACGACGACGACGACGACGACTGCGGACAAGACTCCGATGCGGATTCCCACGCGGACACCTACGCGGATCCAAATGCGCACGGCGGCAGTGCCCAGAGCGCACTGGGGGGGAGCGTTACGTCATAGGGGGGGGGGGGGCGGGGGCGGGGGCCATGACGCCCGTCATGCCCCAAGCAATAAAGAAATGGCCTCCAATGCATCCCCGACACATCGGCGACGCCGGTGATACACCAGGGACGTCGGCGTAGAGAAGATCGGGCTCCACATCGCGCCGAATCGGCGATGCGTCAATGCTGCGGCGCGATCCTCCGACCCCGTCTATTCCGGCCCTGCCTGGGAGGCCTGGTCTCTTGGGGACTCGTGGGGTCGTCTTGGAGACCCTGGCCTGCCCGCCCGCCCGTGCGAGGACCACAGGGGAGGGGGGGTGGCTCAGGGTTCGAGGTTCGGTAGTCGAGGATCGAGCCTCGAGCCTCGAGCCTTGAGGTTCGCTCCTCGAGGCTCGATCCTCGAGGATCGACTGCAGCTGCCGTGGCCGTCTCGGCGGCCTCTCCATCTTCTGGAGGCCTCCCCAGGGCCCCAGAGGGGTGGCCGCCAGCCTCCGATCCACGAGCGATGTGGAGCCCTCTCCCCCCCGCATCTCTGGAGGGCAGAAGGCCCACCCCCCCAATGCGCGGAGCCGCTCAGTAAGCGCACGCGCAGAAGGAATCGAACAAGGCAGGGTTGCTCTTTGGACGCCCGAAATGGGTACGGGAAAAATGGGTACAATGCCCAACAACAAGTCCGAAACCAACAGCGGCGGCTGTTGGGCAGGCGGCCTTCTGTCTCAAATGGACACAGGCCGCGGCGGCGCGGACAGCGAGCCCTGTTCAAAATGAACAAGAACTGCTGTTGGGCATCGTACCCATTCTTTTGGTACCCATTTCGTTCGTGCCGATGTTCAGTAAACGCCCAAGGCCGTCTAATGAACGCCAAGTATCTGGTCCTGGTGGTTTTTCTCCCTTGAATCTCCCCCCCCACATGTACCCCTCTTGGCCAGGACGCGACATCCGTCGCGCGACTCTGCGAATCTGAGCGCTCTTCCTGTCGACCGCCAGCCCCTCTGGGGTCGCCCGGCGTGAGGTGCGGGAGGCCCTCTCCTCCTCCTCCCCCTCCGCCCGCCCGCTGGGCCCGGAAGTCACGGATCTTGAGAAATCCACGAAAAAAACTCGGGCAACCGCTTTCTCTTCGGACGACCTCGGGCCTGCGCCGAAGAAAGAGCGGGGACAGAAGACGGGGAGGAGGAGGAGGAGGAGGAGGAGGAGGAGGCGTGGAGGAAAGGAAGAAGGAGGGAGAGCTCTAGGGCGGCCAAGAGGGGGGTGATGGCTAGGGTTGGCGGATCATGGCCCGAGGCAAGGGCGCGGGCGAAAGGGGGGTCAGGGAGCGTACGGAAAGAAGAGGAGGGTGCCACGACATCTGGGAGGCTTCATGGCCCCCTTCCACGGTATCCACACGCCCCTAAAGTGGGGGCCCTTCCACAAGAAATCCCGCACAAGAAGCCCAACCCTGAGACCCCAGGACGTCCACGGACTTTTGGTGTGGACACGTCACGCCTTCCACAGCAGAACCATCGAAGCCCAAGAAACCCAGGGCACGACACGAATCCGCCGCGCAGGTGTCC